AAAAATAAATTATAATAAAATAAAATTAAATTAAATAAATTATAAGTAATATAAAAATAAAAATATAATTTAATTTCAGATACTATTTTATTATCTGCCAAACATTCTACAAAATTCTCTCTACTCGTTTCTCTACGGTACCTTCTGAACTGAAAGCCAGCGGTTCCGATCTGCTCCCTCAACTTGCTAAAGTGCAATGTTGCTCTTGTGTTGTTGACGTTAGCAAACTTAAGCAAATAGCTTCCAGATGACTCTTTCTAGCCCTTATTCTTGCTCGACCGGGAAGCTCTAACGGTTCTAAGAGTATGTGAACAGATGGTGTCACAAAACTCACCTTTCTCTTGAACTCACTTATTTCGCTCAACTGCAGCCATGTGATGCCCTCAGTATTGGGATTATTCACTTAATTTCCAATCTATATTTCCAACAACACATCTCATTCTCAAATTCTCCATTTTATTTTGCGATATCGGTCACTCTAACTAGGCTATCCTAGCTTTAATCGTAAGTTAATGAAAATAATGTCGCTTTTATAAAACACAGGTATTTATACTACCCAGATCTAACAGATTTAAAAAAAAAAAAAAATTGGCAACTGAGAGGTTTGGACAGCATCTCTGAATCTTTCTGTGGTCTAGCCAATCTACCTAGTACACACAACTTCTGTAACCTTCCTCATCTTTCCTCCAGCTGACAAGACGAACCCTGCTGTCATTTGTTCCACATGACTTTTTCTTAGGATACTTACTCTTCTAATATCGCTGCTTATTTTTTTCTCCATGCTCTCAATTCTTCTCATCTGGATTACACTGTGTGGTTACCCTGTGCGGTCACTGAGCCCTTTGATAACAAATCCTGAACTATAATAACATTCCGGAAAATTAATTCTATCCTACCCTTTATAAACATGTCCAGATTGCTGAGCTCTTTGCCCCTTTAGTCCATATGCTCAGTTAAGCGACCTAAATGTAAATAAAGTGATCTCCTTTACAGACGCTTTAACCCTTAATGGGGGTCCATATATATTCACTATACGTTCAAGACCTACTTTTTTTTTTTTTTTTGCTAAAGAATAAACACTAACCTATATAACTTTTAATGAAAATGATAAAGTATGTATGTACACATGTATTTTATTCTCACCTTCCTTTGTTACAGTATCCAAATGGCACTTTGGACAACGACACCTCCTCCATACCCCGTATAAGTGGTTGGGGTAAGGTCTCCCCAGGCCCCAGGGTGTATGGATAGACTCATTATCCACCTCTGGCCACTGAGGGTACTTTTTCTCCTTTGCTCAGTGTTCATGTCTCCTGTAAAACCAATGGCAATCTTGCCCGGAAATTTTAAGTGCTAGAAAAAAATGTTTGCAAGAATTTTCATGTTTTTTGATGTTACCCTGTGAGAAGGTTCTTGTTGATCATGATACCAACACAAATGAAATAACCACAGGCTGGAAATAGATCCCTTGGACTAGTATTCTAAATGCTGCTGTACTTAACACGAGGTGAGTTCATCATTTCAGCCACTGAAACACATTGTCTTTTATCTGGGATTTCTATCATCTCCAACCAAAAATGTTCTCACTAATTAAAAAAGAAGATGTTTAGGTTAGAAAAGGAGACATTTGCCGAGGCAGATACTTGTAAAATAAGATATCTGAGATAACACAATTACATTCTATGAGCAATTTATGTACATGTGGGCACAGTGTCAGTTTAGAGAGATAAAGATGCCTCTGGTAATTTGAATGGAGACGGTAATAGTCTACCACAAAAAGGAGACATTTACCAAAGCGACACAAAGGCTGGTTTTGATGGGGCTTTTGTATGACACTTTCGTAGGATATTTCAGATGATAAAGGAGACTTTTAAATGATTTGCTGTTTGTCCCATTGCTTAGTGATTGACCATGGTGGCTGTGAAGTCAAACACCTGGAAAGGACTAAAATCAGAGAGTCATGGAAACACGATCGTCTCCAAAATGGACCTCAACGATTGCTCCCCCTGGTATTCCTTCCTTTGTCTCACCCGACAGCCAGGCTGTGGCTGGATGTGAATCAACAGAACAAGGCAAAGAAAATGAGTTGTCACCCCAGTGATTCCATTACATAAGACTGTAGATTGTAGGCTCTGACTCCCTCCCTCGCTGGATTGGATGAAGGGGACAGGGAACTGAGAGTGATGTTGCCACCACTCAGCAAGGAACTGACGCCCTCGGCCCAACATCCCTCTCAACTGAATTCTACCACCAACCACATGAGTTCAGAAGCAGCCCTTTCTCTAGTCAAGCCTCACAGGAGACAGTACTCCTGGCCACCACCTCTATTCAAGCCTGGGTGCGACTATGAAAACAGAACACAGGCAACCTAATTTTGACCTTCAAAACCTTCAAGACGATATATGTGCTGTTTTCACTCATCACGTTTGTAAAGATAAGGCCACGTGCAAGAATAATGGACACACGTGGCTTGAATGTTAGGAGCAATGAGTTGTCAATGTATGAAGATCTTAATGTTGACATAAGAAAATGTTGACATAAGAAATGTTGACATAAGAAAATGCTGACATAAGAAAACACACGTCGGCCATATTCTGGGGTGACCTTCATAAACTGAATTTCCTCTCGTGGAAGTAACATTGCTTAAATTGTTTGCTTGTCTATCTTGTTACTACTCAAGAGCTGAGAGTTAAGTTTTATACTTCCTATAATTAAT